AAGAATATCTAAAGACAATGTCTGGAAGACACAGGGTCACAGACACAAGGAAAATGTCATGTGACTGTGAAGATGGAGATGAGAGTGCAGTATACACAGGCCAAGGAACACCAAGGATCAGCCATCACAAGAAGCTAGAAGAGGTGAGAAAAGATACTCCCTTAGAAGGTTTGGAACAAACATGGTCCTAATGACTTTGATTACAGCCTTCTAAGAGAACAGATTTCTATTGTTTTAAACCACCTAGTTTGCGGAATTTTTTTTACAGCAGTTCTAGGAAACTAATACATACTGCAATTCCTTTTCCAGGATACCACCCCCTAACTTAGACATTGCTCAAACACTAAAAAAAAATCATAAAATTTGGAGCATGTGAGTCTTCTGTCAGTCTAAAAACAAGCTCACTTAAATTTTTCTATAATAATGCCATTCTTGTTGTTCATAAATGTCAAGAAACCTTATGACCACATACAAGCTGATAATAGTTAAAAGAAGACACTGTCTTCATCCATGGAATGGTGGCAACTCCTTTTAAAATTATTTATCCTAAAACTTCCACCCAAGATGGAGGAGGCATAGGTGGGTACACTTTGCCTCCTTGTATAACTAAAAGAAGGTTGGTTATAACCAAAGGAAGTTTGGTTATACAACAAATTTAAAAACAAATATAACCAGAACTGCCAGAAAATGGAACTATACAAAAGTCTGACAACCAAGGAGTTAAAGAAGAAACATTCATCCAGACTGGTAGGAGGGGAGGAGAGGAATCATGGCAAGGCAGTGGATGAAGGACTGGGGCGAGCAAGGTGGCTGCTGGCAGACCAGCTGAGGCAGTAGCTAGCAGACCGGCTGGTCCCACATTTGCGTGCTGATAAACTAGGAAAAGTAACTGGGGAGTGAGACAGACCACAAAACCCAGGGTTCCAGTGCGGGGAAATAAAGCCTCGAAACCTCTGACTGTAAAACCTGTGGCAGGGGTGGCGGCAGGAGAAACTCCCAGCCTTATGAGAAACTCACAGCAAAATGGATTGGCCTGCCTGGGTGAATACCTAAGGCTTGGCCCCTTACTATGTATCAGGCACACTGAGACAAAAAAAAAAAAAAAAAAAAAAAAAAAAAAAAAACATGACCCAAATGAAAGAACAGATCAAAGCTCCAAAAATAGAAGTAAACAATGAAGAGATAGCCAACCTATCAGATGCAGAGTTCAAAACACTGGTAATCAGGATACTCACAGAAATGGTTGACTATGGTTGCAAAATAGAGGAAAAAGTAAAGGCTATGAAAAATGAAATAAAAGAAAACGTACAGGGAACCAACAGTGATGGGAAGGAAACCAGAGCTCAAATCAATGATTTGGAACAGAAAGAAGAAATAAACGCTGAACCAGAACTCAATGAAGAAACAAGAATTCAACAAAATGAGGAGAGGGTTAGAAATCTCCAGGACAACTTTAAATCTTCCAACATCCAAATAATATGGGTGTCAGAAGGAGAAGAAGAAGAGTAAGAAATTGAAAACATATTTGAACAAATAATGAAGGAAAACTTCCCTAATCTGGTGAAGAAAATAGACTTCCAGGGAGTCCAGGAAGCTCAGAGAGTCCCAAAGAAGTTGGACCCAAGGCAGAAAACACCAAGGCACATCATAATTACATTAGTCAAGATGAAAGAGGGGAAAATCTTAAAAGTAGCAAGAGAAAAGGAGATAGTTACCAACAAAGGAGTTCCCATAAGACTATCAGCTAATTTCCCAAAAGAAACCTTGCAGACAAGAAGGGGCTAAAAAGAAGTATTCCAAGTCATGAAAGGCAAGGACCTACATCCAAGATTACTCTATCCAGCAAAGCTCTCATTTAGAATGGAAGGGCAGATAAAGTGCTTGCCAGATAAGATCAAGGTAAAAGAGTTCATCATCACAAAGCCCTTATTATATGAAATGCTAAAGGGACTTGAAACAGAAGAAGATCAAAGCTATGAGAAGGAAAATGACAATAAACTCACAACTATCAACTGAACCTAAAAACAAAACCAAATGCAGCAAACTAAAACAGGAACAGAATCAGAGAAATGGAGATCACATGGAGGGTTATCGGGGGGGGGGGGGAGATACAGAGAATAGGAAGCATAAATGGTAGGTACAAAGTAGACAAGGGGAGGTTAGGAATAGTGTGAGAAATGGAGAAGCCAAAGAACTTACATGTATGACCCATGGACATGAATTAAGGTGGGGGAATGCTGGTGGGGGGTTATGCAGGATGGAAGAGAATAAAGGGCAGAAAAACTGGGACAACTGTGATAGCATGGTCAATAAAACATATTTTAAAAAATGAATTTGAATAATGAGGTAGGCAACTAACTTTCTGTGATAGTTTCACCAGTTCAAGAATGACAATACAATGTAGTTTTTTATTTCCCCTAATTCTCCTTGTTTCTACATTGTTGAAATTGTCTAGGAAACTAAGAAAAGCAAATATTTATGCTAGACAAGTGGACATCACTCCACTCTTGTTACTTCGTTCTGGACTCCAGGTGCTTGTGGATATTGTCCAGGAAGAAATCCACGTCTACTCACTAGGTAAAGAGGATCATTCTGGTAGGGATATCCTTCAGTGCCACAATCTGAAACACTATCCTCTCAGAAATGAAAGCCCTGTTAGGGTCTGAATGAACCAAGACAAACATAGTGGGGCAAGCACATAAATAGAAGCTCTTCTGGGAATCCCAAAACTCAGGGTAGGGTTTACTGATAGTTTGTATTTATTTATTTAAATACTTATTCCACCATGTTATCTCTTTTTATCAGGGATCGTTTTCTAAAAGCTCAAATTTCTCCTGTGTAGGAAGTTACTACGTGTATATCCCAAAGCTGGGCTATAAAACAGAACCAAGGATAAGTTTGTCCAAAGTGTCTCCCTGAGGATAGTGTGATAAAATGACAGCTACTGGGAGCACCTAATACAAAGAAGTGGCAATGGTGAGGAGTGTGGGAAAGGGTGGTCTTATAACCTCTCAGCAGATTTTCATCACAGTTTAATACCCAAATTTGAGAACCATAAGAAATCACACCCAGTCTTTTATTCAATAAGCAGTTAGTGTCTTAGGTACGAGATGCCATGGGAACAAAACTCAATAAGACACATTTCTTTCTTTCTTTCTTTCTTTTTAATCCTCACCTGAGAATATGTTTATTGACTTTAGAAAAAGAAGAAGAGAGAGAGAGAAAGAGAAATATCAATCAGTTGCCTCCCAAATGTGCCCTGACTAGGGATTGATGCTACAACTCAGGCACATGCCCTGACCAGGAATCGAACCCACAGCGTTTTTGGTGTATAGGATGAAGCTCCAACCAACCAGGCTGCCCACCAGGGCAAGACACAATGGATAGATCAATCTTGGATGTAGGTCTTTGGATTTCATGACTTGGAATACCTCTTTCTAGTCTCTCCTTGCCTACAAGGTCTTTTTCGAGAAATCAGCTGACAGTTTGATGGGAACTCCTTTGTAGGTGACTGTCCCCTTATCTCTTGCTGCTTCTAGAATTCTCTCATTCATTTTAATCTTGGCTAATATAATGATGATGTGCTTTGGTGTGTTCCTTCTTGGGTCCAACTTCTTTGGGACTCTCTGAGCTTCCTGGATTTCCTGGAAGTCTATTTCCTTTGCCAGATTGGGAAGTTCTCCTTTATTATTTGTTCAAATAAGTTTTCCACTCGTGGCTGTTCCTCTTCCCCTTCTGGTACCCTTTAATTTGGATGTTGGAACGCTGAAAGATGTCCTGGAGGTTCCTAAGCCTCTCCTCATTTTTTTGAATTCTTGGTTTTTTGTTCTTTTCTGTTTGGTCATTTTTTTCTTCCTTCTGGTTCACTCCATTGATTTGAGTCCCAGTTTCCTTCTCATCACTATTGGTTCCCTGTGCATTTTGCTTCATTTCACTTAGTGTAGCCTTCATTTTTTCATCTAATTTGTGACTAAAATCAACCAGTTCTGTGAGCATCCTGATTACTAGTGTTTTGGACTGAGCATCTGATAGGTTGGCTATCTCTTTGTTGCTTAGAAGTATTGGCTCTGGGGCTTTGAGAAGCTCTTCATCTTGAGCCATAATATTTTGGTCTGTTTTCGCCTGTTACATATGAGAGGCAGAGCCTTATATGTTCACCAGGGCGGGGCAACCCAGGTTGTTGGGTTATGACACTGTATGTGGGGGTGGGGTCAGGGAGGGAGCAATGGTGTTTGTTTTGCTCTCTCTCAGATTTGGTCCCCTCTGCTGCTTCCCACAAGCAAATTGGGCCCTTCTGGTGCTGGTTCCTGGATGTGTGGGCTTGTGTACCGTACAGGACCCTGTGGGTCTGTCTCTACAATGAACTCTCTGTGAGCCTGGGAACCTCTCCCGGCACCTCGACTCCTCAAAGTTTTTCCAATTGGCGCTTTAAGGCTTTATTTCCCAGCACTGGGCCCTGGTTTGAGTGGTCTGTCTCACTGCTCACTCCTTTGGCTGGTTTATCTGCACACGAATGTGTGACTGCGGTCAGCTAGCCGCCTTGTACCCTCACTGGGTCTGCTCGTTGCCACCCCACACCTGGGATCTGCCAACTGCCACCTGCGGACCTGGGTTGGTCCAGCAGCCACCACTTTTTCCTGCCATGACCCCTCTCCTCCAGTTGCTGACTCTGCCCCTCTTACTGGTCTGGATGAATGGTTCATTGTTGTCAGACCTCAGTACAGTTTTTCTCTCTGTTTTGGTTGTGTTCTGATTTCTCAATCTTTGTTGTTCATAAACTTGGTTGTGCGAGGAGGTACAGTATTTCTACCTATGCCTCCATCTTGGCCAGAATTTCTCTCTAGTATAGTTTTTTATATTCTTTCCAAATTATGTCATATATACAGTAACAGAGATATGCTTACACAATTAAACTTCGAAGCATATTACAATTTTTATAATTCTGTTTTGGCGATTTAAAATATATACACAAGTCCCCCAAATCCCAAGCTGCACATTACCCATGAAAGTGATCTTGGTCTCTCTTGATCTCTTTGGGGTCTGCTGGGCACTCAAGAGGGAGCAGCAAACAAGCCAGTTGTTGTACTTGCACTCACAGATATCAAACAAGAACACACACCAAACTGATACCTGTAGCACCTGCATGGGAGGACAGTGGCATGAGGTGAGACTGAGCTGGTAAGCCAAGCTTTCACTTTATCTGAACTGTTTGAATTTTTACAGTATGGACATATCCATGTATTACTTGTATAGTCATTATGTACTTCTATACCAGGTAGGTCATTGAGCGAAGAAGAGCCAAGAAGGGGACCACTGGAGGCTGATCCCAACATGGACCAAGGAGAATGAGAAAACTGCCAAGTTGTTAGATGTTGTGGGCCACTCTGGCTGGTTTTGGGAATTGTAACTCTACCCCCTGTGGCTAAGGATGAGCACCACAGGAGACAAGCTTTGTCTCTGGTAGCAAATGCTGCCTCAGTTTCCTCCCTGCCCCCAAAGCATGGTTGGAAGTCCTTGATGGGTAAGACCCCTCAGAGGAGGGGCAACCTAGGCCAGACATGATCACTTGGGAAGCCATCATGGAAGGACTCAGGGGGCTGCAGCAAAGAGCAATGGACTCTCACCCCCTGGCTTTGACATAGCCTGAGTCCCCATGACCTCTGGGAGAAGTGCTTCCTGGCTCTAATCCCTTTAAGCCTGAATACCTGTTGGGGAGAGGCGCAGCTCCTTGCCTTGCTAGAGCGTGTCCTTGGGAAAAATCTGGCATCACAAAGACTTCCTCAAAAACCTGTGAAATCTGCTCTACTAAGAGTGCTTTTCATTCATATGTTAAGGGTTCAAGCAGGAAACTCTAAAACTCTCTTTCTGACAGACTCTGACTCATAGTAAGCCCTCAGATTTCTTTGAAATGTTATCTACTGTTTGATCCTTGTTGCCCTGTATTCCTGTGTATTACAACCCAATAAAAGCCCTTGGAGGAAAGCGCTCAACGCCTTTTTCCCCTAAGAAACTGGCCACAGCTCAAGGCCTTTTTCCTCTGGGAAACTGGCCACCTCTCCTCCCCAAACAGATCACTATAAATATCAGTCATGTTTACTCTCATCCGTGGTACATGGGGGGACTTGTGAGGAAAGTTCCTCCCACAGTTAGAGCTTCAGAGTTGGTCTGAAGCTAACATAGCTGCACACAACTTCACAGTGACTGTTGTCTCCATGTCCTGTGGGAAGCGCTGCCAGGCATGGACACAAGACTTCCCATCTCTGATCTCCCTACTGGGCTTAATCATCTTCTGATCCCAAACAGAATGACTTACTCTCATGTACTAAGTAACATGGATGGATGATCAACATGTTATTCTCAAATGTTGATTTGAAACTAGTCTTTCCATGAACAGCAAAATAATCTTACTAGAAGATGCCAAGTGCCCCTGAGCTGAATCACAGTTATTATGTCTAGACTGAAATGTCTCATATCTGTTTTGTCAAACAAGTTGTGCCCTGTCCATTACTATAAACTGTGTAATCCGCATGGACTTCCCACTGCTCCACTGAGAACAGGACAGCCCCTGCTAATCAGATTTCCCTCTGAGGAAACCTTAGCCATGTAAGTAATCTCAAGACATGCTAGAGAAATAAGAACAGATATCATGCAAACATTAGCCATGTCCTCACATAGCTTACTAATGGCAGACTGGTCAGTTGTGACAAATTTTAGGGCAAAAATGTTTCCTTGCACTGTCATTCTTTTCAATTTTCTAATCGTAGTTTGAGATATATACAGACAGTGTGGCTTTTACAGAACAGAGGTATGACTAATGACTGATCATCCAGTAATGTTTTTGACCAGAGCCATTACATGTGAGCATACATGTATGTATGTGCACTGTTTTGCTCTAATATGACAGGGTCCTTCTTTGGAGCACGCACAGTTGTTAGCGGTATGTGCACAAGTAAAGCCAATGCATAGAAATACAAATGGAACATGCCTCTCTCTGCACAAGGCAGAAAGCTAACAGAGGAAAAGCCTCCTATAGAGAACTTCATATCTGAGTTCTGTTCTAAGAGGTCAATGGGAGCTTGCATGGTGGATAGGATTGCCAGGTAAAATAGGGGAAACCCAATTAAATTTGAATTTTGAATGAACAATAAATGATTTGGTAGGTACATCCCAAATATTGCATGGGTATTCGATATTTTTATTTGCTAAATCAGGCAATCCTAATGGTAGAAAAGGCAAAGATGTGCATGTCAATTATCTTTCCTCCATTGTCATGAGTATCTTCAACATCAGCATCAATTAACATTTACAGGCCATAGTGAATGAGGGCCATGCTTATGGAAGGCTATCCATCTCTCCTGCTACCAGAAACACTCAGAACATGCCCGCTTCTTCAATCATGACTCCTTGAGATTCTAGAATTCACCCTATTCCTCCTTCTTCAATCCTAGCCCATGACTGGCATGTGCTTGGTGCTAGAAATACAGATGTGAACAAGTGAGGATATGATGTGGAATGACTATAAAAGGAGGAAATTTGGGATGAGGGAAATAAATTGACAAAACTGTACATTGCAGAAAATATAGGAACTTCATGGTGATTAACAACAACCACTAGTTAGGAGTTGTTTTGTGAGGTATATAAGGAGGTCTAGCCCTTGATTTTACACTTTACTGAGGCTGTGTGTGTGTGTGTGTAATTATAAATATATGTGTATATTTATATTAACACATGTATTTTTAAATGAAAAGTTGCAAGAATAGTACATTGAACTTCCAGGTAGTCAATGTTATACATATCAACTGTATTGGAACTCGGTCATAGACAAAATTCACATTGCCTTTTGAAGTATATACTCCAGAATAGAAATGTTTAACTAAAGTAGTACTAGTCCCACTGAAGATGTAGAATAATTTTTCTCTTTTAATGTATCTTATTTTTAAAAGTTTGTCTTATTGAATAAAGAAATGCTTGCTGACTACAACAAACTTTAAAAACCTGGGTAAATAAAAATACAAAAATAAAAATCAACCATCATTTTTCCAGTCAGAAATAATGACAAAATATTTGTAGCACATATATTTCTAGGTGCTTTCTGCACTGATATCTATATTTTAAAAATATACAACATATATAAATATATAACAAATATGCTATTAGACTATATATACTACCATATAAGCTTGCTTTTAAGCTACAAAGTAAATCTATTCAAGTGAACAAATATGTTCCTACAATATAATTTTAATGCTTGTACAGAAATTTTAACCAATGAATTACTTAACCAAGAACATATTGCTAAACATTTGAATTGCTTTTCATTTTTTGCTGTGAAAAACTTCCTGACAGCTAAGTCTTTAAAGCCATTCATTATTTTCTCTTGAGCATGAATTCCTACTGAGAGAAATACTGAGTCAAAGATTATGTACACATTTAAGGCTTTTGATTCATGTCATCGTTTTGCTCTCTACAAAGGTTGTGTCAACTTAAACAGAAAATCCCTTTTCCCAATTATTTTTCCAAGTTAGTCATTCCACAAAATCTGTGAAATCAGAATTTATATATAGAGAGAGCATATAGAATAAAAACATGTAGTAAGTTTTCTTTTCATTGGAAACCGGTCCAAAAATTAGGATTTTAAGAAATCTCACTTTTCCACAATTAGCCTTTGGTACAGCCAACTCCTTTAAACAATAACATTTTAAGCCAATTTTTAAGGAAAGTCTGCCATACTTGTGGAACTATGGTTGCTTTGAATTCTAAAATGGCTTTATTAATGTATTTCTTTTTTTAAGATGATAATTAAACTAGCCTTATTTAATGACATTCCATTTCACATTCCTGGAGAAAGGAATCCATTTGCCTAGACCATAACTTGAAGGTTATTTGATCAAACAAAGGGAAAGCCATAAATGGTGGCTAGCCATCATTACCACAGAGATCTTAGTCCGGGTGTAAATAGCTTGGATAAATGAGTAATCATCTACTCACACACCTCCTCAGTAAAGAACAAACTGGAACAAACACAAATCTTTACAGTGTCAAGAACCTCCAAAGAAAAAGGAAAGATAGCCAAGCAGAAGTTTTGAAATACTATCTAAACCATATCTAAAAGTAAAGGAAATCTATGATACTATAAGAAAGAAGGCAATAGAGCAGAAAAATATTACTCAATATATAGAGTAATAGTAAAGGAAATCTATGGTACTATAAGAAAGAAGGCAATAGAGCAGAAAAATATTACTCAAAATATTACTCAATATTACTCAAAAATATTACTCAAAATAATTTCTGCCTAGAGGACTTCTATGAAAGATACCAAAGCTTATGAAATGCTAGGTGGGGGAGGAAGTGCTGACTCGGTCTTAAGTAAAAGCGAGGATAGTTGGGGAGTATCAACATTTTCTAAAAGCAACAGGAAACCTGGCTAGCTTAGTCTTCTGTTTGATAAGTGCCACAATCAATTGGCCAACTCTACTTTTTATTTTTTTTGAGATCCAGAAAAATCAAATAAAAGAAAAAATATCCAAATATAGAAGCTTAATTTAACAAGATTAGCCTTATCATCAAATAATCATAGTCATTTGGTCAATGTCTACAATTAACTCAGTGAAACAACATGTTTCGCTCTAGGGCCAGGTACAAAAATGAATTTTCTTAGAGGAATGCTTTCTCTTATGTAATTGAGTTGGGTGATATTCTGCATCAATCTTGTTATGATGATTCTGTAGTACTGGGAAGGAATTTCCAAAGTCAGCATAGTCACCCAAAGTTTAAAAAAAAAAAAAAAAAAAAAAAAAGCTCAGAGGTAAAGGGGCCAAAACCCTGAGAACCAGAAATTGACAAATGAGAAAACTCCTCCCTGCTGAAGATATTCAGGTGTATAAAAGGCACGCAACCGCACACTTAAGCCCTAGAACATTGTCGTCGTCGTCGTTCACCTTCAGTCTTGTGAATCTTTTGGCTCGGAAGAAAAATGAACACCAAGCCTAACGTGATTCGAAAGTGTTTGTGCCTTGTGGGTCTATTCATCACCGGCACCCTCTCTGTGGACTGTAACTCACTGCATGTTCACCTGCGTAGAGTCATCTGGAAAAATCTGAGACTTCTGAGCACTGTGAGCAATTCATTTCCTGTGGCGTGTCTAAGAGAAAACAAAGCTTTTGAGTTGCCCCAAGATATCCTGTCATATACCCTGCCTCTGAAAAGAGGCATCAAAGAAGCCTTTTATGAAATGTCCATGTTGGCCTTCAACATCTTCACTCCATCTACCTTCCAACCAATTTGGAAAGAGAAACACCTGAAACAAATCCAAATCGGACTTGACCGGCAATTGCAGTATCTGGAACAATGCTTGGAGGAAGAGAAGGAAAATGAAGACAAGAAAGAGGTGGGAGAGGATGGGATGAAATGCCTAGGACCTATGGTCCTCCAGCTGAACCACCTAGAACTGAGGAGATATTTCCACAGGATAGGCAGTTTTCTGAAAGACAAGAAATACAGTCCCTGTGCCTGGGAGATCGTCCGAGTGGAAATCAGAAGATGTTTCTACTACTTTCAGAAATTTACAGCACTCCTCAGGAGGAAATAAGGTAGATTTTTAAAACTAAAATTGCATTTCTCTCCAAACCTCCTTCCCCTTTATCTTCTTTTTAAGTTGCATTTCTCTGATAGCTAGTGATAATTGAGCACCTTTTCATGTGTCCCTGGATCTTCTGCATGCCCTCGTTGGAGAAATGTCTGTTCAAGTCCTTTGCCCATTTTTTAATTGGGTTGCTTGTCTTCTTAGAGTGAAGTCCTGTAAGTTCTTTGTATATTTTGGAGATTAAACTCTTGTCTGAGGTATCATTGGCAAATATGTTTTCCCATACAGTTGGATTTCTTTTTATTTTAATACTGTTTTCTTTGGCCATGCAAAAGCTTTTAATTTTGATGAGGTCCCATTTGTTTATTCTTTTCTTTATGTCCCTTGCTCTGGGGGACATATCAGTAAAAAAGTTGCTGAGTGAAATATCTGAGATTTTCTTGCCAATGTTCTCCTCTAGGACTTTAATAGTGTCATGGCTTATATTTAAGTCTTTTATCCATCTTGAATTTATTTTGGTGTATGGTGTAAGTTGGTGCTTGAGTCTCATTCTTTTTGCACATAGCTGTCCAGTTCTCCCAACACCATTTGTTGAAGAGGCTATTATTACAATAATTAAATAAATTTAAAAAAGAATTACTGTGCTATCTGTTAAGCCTGCTCTCGGCTGAACTGGTGGTTGTTTATGTAATGTTTACTCTCTTTAGGGTTTGGCCTAGCAACATCAGCCACATTCACCTCTCTAAGAAAGGTAATGCCAACATCTGCTGGGTGACCAAGAATTTTGTTACAAAGTCCTGAAGGCAGTTTTAGAGTAAGATTCCCTCTCCATCTTCTACTTTTTGTTCCTTTTCCTTTTGCTATTTTGTACTTGCTTTGAACCTCACCTTTGAAATTTACCAAGCCAATGGCTAGAGAATAAGGATCAGAGGATATGGATCCAAATGTAACAACACCTCAATGACTTAACCTTTCACTGCTGAGGTGTTGTAGTCTGAAATTCAGCCTGTTTCAAGAAATTATACAAAATTCCACAGAGTTAAAACCCTCCCTTTCTCCCCCTGCTTACAAAGAAAAAAAAAAGTTGACATTTCTGGTCCATTGGTTTCTCAGCTTGGTTTGTTTAAAATGATACAAAGTTTGTAGGATGGTATCTTATTATTTTAAGAAAAAGAATGAAGATCCACTCTTTCATATTGGTTGGATGAATTAGATGACCATTAAGCTCATGTTCAACCTGTGAGAGCCTATGATTCTAATGCAGAGAGCACTGTTCATTCCCAATTCGTATCATTTGATTTCTACAATCAAGGGCATGAAAAATGATGCAGAAAAGTGCAGTATCTGCCTTCATCATCTTCTGTGTCTGAAATGAAATGCCTACAGTCATCCTATAGAAGAATTTCACACTGGATTTTCCCAATTAGAGAATCACTTTGTGTCTGTTAGGGAAATTAGTTATTTTAATAATACATGACGTTTTAGCACAGATTGCCTTTTAAAAAGTTATTTTGTACCCAGATTACCTAGATTATTTACTTAAATTTTCTCATGTGGTCCCTCATCTGTATTATTCATCATCTAGCTGAAATGAACCTTTTCTTCATTCTCCTCCAACCCATTTCAGAATCATCTATCTACTTTCAAGCAAGAACATTGAAACTGAGGCTACACAAATTCACAAAAGAGGGTGAAATGTACCTGGTTCAGCCCCTGGAAGACACCTCCTGCTATTTGTTTTAACAGTGTGCTACTCTATTGTTTAGATTCAAGATTCATCCAAGTGCAGGACTCGAAATTCATAGCCAAACAGAGGAAGTCTTATGATAAAATGGAGGCAACCTTCAGTCAAAAAGTTAGAAGAAATGATTAAAGGATGAGAACAAGTTGTGGATCATGGTCTGCTGTCTATCCGTGGAAGGATCAGACCATAAAATGAGTTAGTATCACCTATTTAGTAACAACTGCTCATCAACAGAGTTGTTCTACATGGAAAACAAACAACAGCATTAGAAACTGTAAAAGAGTTGGGGCATGCAAGCTACTAAGCAGAAAGTATGCACTTGATATTTCCCATGACTCTCTCTAATAATGTCTTTGTGTGGCCTCCCTAATAACTCTACTAAGATCATGTCAGTTACCTTAGTAATTTATGTTTGTAGTCTTGCCAAATGTTTGCTATACAAGAGGGAAGAGAATTGGCACTTCAAGTCAGTAAAGATTGTCTGATTGTAGGAGCAGGGGCAGAAGTCAGAACAGCATGCTTTTACTAAGAACACTTCTAGCCACAAAGAGGAGAACATGTCCACTGAAAAATAGGTAAGGAGACAAACCGGCATCATTCCTAAGGAAGAAATACAAACGGGCAATGTGGAAAAGAAGACACTAAGATACTCCCTTCCCATTCATCTGGCAAAGATGAAAAAGAATGATACTCTAGAATGTGAGTAGGGTATAGTGTATAGGAAAAAATACTCCGCCTGTTGTTGGGGAGAGGGTAAACTGGCACATTTCCTCCAGGAATATAAGGCGATCTTTTTTAAAAACTGATTTTAGCAAAAGAAAAAGGGAGAGAGAAAGAAACATGGATGTGAGAAACATTGCTTGGTTGCTTGATGTACATAACCTGACAGGGAACTCAAACCCTGAACCGGCAACCTACAAATGTGCCCTGACCAGGAAACCAAACAGTGAACCTTTGGTGCAACAACGATGCTCCAACCAGCTGAGTCATGCTGGCCAGGGTGAGGGAGTCCTAAATATCCTAAAAAGTCAGTAACTCCTCTGACCCAGCTATACTATCTTCAGAAGTTTATTCCAAGGAAGTAATTGGTTAAGATTGTTTACTGGAGCCTTGTTTATAATAATCCTCTTCCTTTGTTTTCATTGTCACCTCTCTGTATTTTCTATTTCCTACAATAATTGGCCGGAGGGAGGCGGTATTGTTTAATTCTAAAATTAAAGAAACTTATTGTCTACTACAATTACCCTGTTTTCCTTACTGGGGTAGCAGCTGGGACCAGCACTGCCGTTTTACTTTGTTGAAGGTGCCTGTGGGCACTTCTTGAGCAACCCAGGTCCTTTTTGATGCTTCTCCCCTGTGACACCGCTGCTATTTTTCAAAGGAATCCTTCCTTGGGGATTATTTTCAAAACGAAGTATTTGTAAAGTGACTTCAGGTGCTTCAAAGACTTTATTTTTTCTTTCGTTGGTCCCACTCCTACTTGCCAGAAATTTCCGGAGAAAGTGCACTATGAGTCTACCTTCCTGATTTAGCACTCTCCCCTCTTCTTCATTAAGTGTAAGCTCCAAAGCCCTGTCAACTCAGGTAAAGGGTATAACCCTTAGAACTGCAGAGCCACGTGCACTTGAAATGCCTGAGTGGGCACACAGGTGGCAAGTGCTCAGATGAAAACTTCCTCCTTCTCCTGGCTCGGGGGAAGGATAGAGAGTAACTGAATCTCCTTGGAAGAGGGGCTGATTGGGGGGTACCCCACAGAAAAAGCTGGCGACTCCGGCTACCAGAAGGAATGCCACAGGTGCTCAGACTCACCTCCCCTCACAGGCAGAGCGATTTTCTGAGCACTATTCGAGGAGGACCCAGCTTTCCCAAAGTGGCTACTTCGTTTTTGCCCTGGTTTCTTAATAAATAATCCACAGTCACTAAGTACAGGTACTACATGTAAGCAATCTAATTTGTGAGAGAAAGCAGGGCAATAGGGTCAACTGTAATCTAACAGGCGCACAGCCACAGGGAAACTAGGGGCCAGTTCCGAGCCACCGGTTCCCAGGGCTTGGAAGCGTGAACACTGCCTTGGCGGAGTCTGCGCTGTGTCCTCAGGGTCCTTCTTTTCTAAATGCAGAGAGGGGGCCTGGGATTTAAACTCGGGGGCCCTACGCGAAGTCAGAATCCCACGTTCATTCTAGAGGGGGCCCACCTTACCATTATTTCTAGGCAAAGACTTGAGGCTTCCTAGCTTGTTTCCCTCACCATTCTTTTTAAGGCGACTCGCCGGCTCACCAGCTCTTGGAAACTCGCAGATCCCAAAACCTCGGCTTTCTGCCTGCCAGAAGTGCCCTGATCCTGTCCGGAGCCTTTAGGCGGAGATTGAAACCCTCTGGAACCCACCCAAGGATACCCTGGAACGGAGCGGAACCTGGCTTCCACTCTCTGCACACCGCACCCCTTTCAAATCTGCGCCCTTCGCGGTGTGCGTGGGATAAGATCTGAGAAATGCGCCCTGGGCCACAGGCAGCCGAAGAGGCGGGGCAGGAACAACTTTCCCTCCGCCCCGAAGCCGCAAGGCAGGGGTGGGGCGGCCGCGCTGGGGTCCTGCCCCCGGGCAGGAGCTGGCCGAGGGGCTGGCGTCGGGGGCAGGAGTTTAGGACCCTAGGGGCTTCTTGCTCGCCCCCAGCTCCGCCAAATGTTGGAAAGGCACACAATGGGGGAAGGCGGGGAGACAAAAGGCCATTCGCCAGGATCTTAATCCGCTGTGCCGCACGGGCCCCCGCAGAAAGGACGTCTGGGCGGGCTGAGGAGTGGGGTGGTCGGGAAGGTGGGTGAAGTTCGGGGTCTCCGGTACTTACTTGTCAGCCCTTGTACTCCTCCGAGAGGGGCCCGAAGGCAGGGAGGCGCAAAGGAAAGCTAAAGGGTTTTCACCTTTTTCCTGAGTAGAGGGAAAGGGAGGGGCTGGCATTCCAGACGTTTTGACAGTTGCGGGCTCTGGGGTTCGGCGGGACTTGCTCGTCCTTCACACACCTCCCCCCGCCCCGCGAGGCGCCAGCAGTTCGGGGGGCGCCCTGGCCGGCGGAGCGAGTTCCCCTCCGCAGCCCCAAGCCGAGCCTCCTCCTCCAAGATCCAGGCTCCCTGAACGCAGTCCCCCGGCCCAGAAGCACTTTTGTAAAAGTTTGTCTTCCCGCCGCCCACAGCCCAACTCGCACCCTGCAGTCACCTTCCATGCGGGGTGCGCCCGGGGACGGACTTGTGCCCGGAAGGTAGATGGGATTTATTGATATATCGCTTAAAATCCAGGCCCCGGAGCCCAGGAAAGGCGTGGGAGGAGCCGGCCAGAAGCCGAGCCGCGGGCTGGGGTCTGAAGCACGTTCCACGCCCGGAAACCCGAGCAGGGCGGGCGGGGAGCGGGTCCGCCGCCTCCCGCGCCGCGCTGCGCCCGCCCCCAGGTGTGCCCGGCACCTCCGCCCGCCTGGGCGCGACCCGGAGCGAGCAGCAGCCGGGCGGCGCCACGGCCCTGGCTGGAGCCGGTGCTCACTCACCGTGGGGCTTCGCCTTCGGCCGGGGGCCCTGTCAGCTTCCTGCGCGGGGTAAACTGCAGCCCGCACGAAAGGAAGCGGGTGGGCGCCGGGCAGGAGGAGCGACTCTCACGGATCCACGCCAGCGGCTCCGGGGCCGGCAGGCGCGCGGGCAACTGAGCGCTGGCCTCCAGCTGCGGCCGCCTCGGCTCCAGAGTAGCCCCCACTTGCACTCAAGGCGGCGGTCGCGCCGGGGCACCGAGAGGGGACCTCCTGGCGGCCGCTGGGGGAATGGCAGCTCCGCGGTGGGGAAAGAAGTCCGGTCGCCTTTGGGTCATCTTCCCTCGGGAAAAAGAGGTGGGGCATGGATAGTCTACCGGGCTGACAGCCTTAAGGAGAAGACGTTGACCCTCCGGCCAAGGCGGCGAGGAAGATATCGAATCTAGATTATGTTCTGGGTTCACAAGGCCGCATCCAAGTCACCAAGGGACATAGAGAGGGGAAATCCCTTATCTTCTCCAAGATGTTCTGACTTGAAAACTCCCATGTTCTGACTGACTAACAAGGGGAGCATTAATAATATGCTCTCGCTGAAAAATACTTTGAGATTCTACCGGATTTATTAGAAGAAGATGGGAGTCATGAAATGAGCAAGGACTTTGAAACCCAACCCACAGCCTCCCACTCTCTACTTGTGTGATCTTGGTCTATGACCTGTAAGGTCATACCTTGCACGATGGTTGTAAGGCGTAAACTAACCATAGAAAGTATTTGTAGTTCACAGTGGGAGTCATTGAATACTAAGTAAACTTCCTGAAGAAAAACATATCTTCTGCATCTCTTTTATTTCCTGTATGATTGCATGTTAATGCATATCGATTAAGGAGTACCGAATAACTATTGCATTTTGCAATTCTTGCTACACAACTTAAAGAATTATGAAAATATATAAATAGAAATTAGGTTATGTAGAGAAAACATCCCTCCCCCAAAAGTGGTTTACACTACTGGTGCATGAGAGCCTCTACAACCACACACATCCTTTGCAATATCAAGTTGTTTCTGGTATTGCAAGAAATATTTAATAGATAGTCATGGTCTAATGACATCCACCCTGGATTAAATGATTCCATTCAGTGCAAATGGAATGGATTCCATTTAATGCAAATGCATGGGGAATGCAAATATTGGAGGATGTGAATATAAAACTCAAACATGAGGAGAGAAAAAAAAGACAGGTACAAGAATCCAGCCACTAAGCAATGTCTCTAGTCATCATTTAGTAATGCAATCTTATTTCCAAACTCCCTCAAATTCTAGTCAGTGCTTTTAAAGCTCCTTTTGATCTTTTAGCCTCATGGCAACCAGTGAACTCTTCATCATACAGAACTATTAGAAAAGAAGTGTCTCTTAACTACTCTGGTTTACCTTTAATAGTCCTTCTCTGTCACTCAGTAGTCTCCAGTTGGGAAGAGGCTGATGCCTGCCTGAGAATTGTCATTACATGACCTTTGCTGTCCTGTCCAGAAAAGAGGAAAAATAAAGTTTCGTGTCTTGGAAACTAAGGCCAAACATTGAGATCCAGCTTTCAGGGCTTTCAGGGTTTTCAGGGTAAAGAGAGCATTCTAGCCTTGTTTGTAGGGATGAGAAAACTTCTTTCCCAGGTTCACAACCTTAGGCCTTAATGCTCCTTCCCTGGGGAGAAAAGGTAAAGCTGGCAGGAACTTAGGTATTTCCGGGGTAATTTTCACCACTGAGAGGGGTCAGTACGATGAATGGTGCCCCAGCTTTCACCTACTCTCTGTCCAGTTGCTTAGCCTGTACCTGGTGGCTGAAAGAGGGTGGGCCAGCACTTAAAATTCAATCCCTCCTAGGTCATCCTGTGTCTTGGTTTGTTCAGGCTACTATAACCACATACCATGGACTGGGTGACTTTATAGACGAGGGGAATTTATTCCTCACAGTTCTGGAGGTTGAGAAGTTCAAGATCAAGGTACAGCAGACTCAGTGTTTGGTGAAGGCCTGTTTCCTCATAGGCATGTTTTTGCTACAACCTTACACAGAAGGGGGCAGGCAAGCTTTCTTGGGTCTTATTTATACTAGCAGTAATCCCAGTTATAAGAGCTCTGACCTCATGACCTTCCAAAGGCCTCACTTCCTGACCTTGGGGTTAGGAATTAACATACAAATTTTGGGAGGACAGAAACTTTTAATCTACAGCATCCTGGGCTACATCTCAATCTTAAACCCAGTTTTAATCAGCACCTTGCATGGCACATTATATAGCAAGTTGGCTTCATTGTGCAGTGAATAAAATACATTTCTCCCTGGTTATTAATCCTTATGAGTATGTTTGTTTGCTTCTGTATAAAAGCAATCTGAAGGGAAAGAATGGGGGAAGAGGAGATTCAGGTACCAAAGTTCACCCAAACTGAACGGATCCTCCACTTCAAACTAGTTCCAGCTGCTGTCTTCCCCCTCTCAGTGAATGGCTACACCAACCTTTCAGTTACTTAAGGCCCAAATTACAGAATCATCTTTAACTTTTCTCCTTTTATTATCTACCTCTTGTTTATTATCAGATCTTATTGGTTTTTACCTTCAAAAGATGTTCAAGAGAAGACCTAATAGAGCTTGGCTTTTTTACCACCTCCATGGGGACCACCCTAGTCTAAGCCACAAATGCCAGTAGCCTCCTAACTAGTCCCCCTGCTTTTTTCCTGCCCTGTATGTTCTGTTCCCACTACAGCAGCCAGTACAATTCAGTATGCCACATTACGTCACTCTGCTACTCAAAATCTGCCTTGCACTTCCTATCTTACTCAGAGTAAAACCAACGCAAACAGGCACTCCTTTATCACTGACCTTTTCTCCAACACCTTCCTCATCACAAATTCCACTATACCCACTCTTCTCTGTGATTCCCAGAGCGCCAGGTAAGCTCTTGCTACAGGGCCTTTATACTTGCTGTGCCTTCTACCAGAAACACTTTCCTCAGATAATGCATTACTTACTAGCTTACCTCCTTAAGCTCTTTGCTCAAAAGTCACCAGAGTTTTCCCCTTTCAACTCTATTTAAAATTATAATCAGCCTCTTCTAACACTCCCTATCCATGTTCCCTGCTCCAGGTTTCTCCACAGAATTTATTGCATCTGACATCTGATACATATACTGCCTTTGTTTCTATGGCTGCTATAACAAATTACCGTAAACTTAGTGGCTTAAAACAATTCAGATTTATTATCTTATAGTTCGGAAGGTTGAAAGTCTCAGTTCTCATAGGGCTAAAATCAAGGTGTCGGCAGGGCTGCATTCCTTTTGAAGTCTATCGGGGAGAATTAGTTTCCTTGTTTTTATCAGCTTCTAGAGGCCGCCTGCACTTGTGGACTCATGGTCCCCTTTCTGTGTTCAAAACCATCAACAGCCAGTAGAGTCCTTCCCATAATGCATCAATCTGGCTATTCTGTTTCCTTCTTCTTCTTATAAGGGTTCTTGTGATTACTTCAAAGCCATCAAAATAATCCAGGAGTATCTCTATATGTTAAGTTCATTTAAGATTAGCAACCTTAATTCCACCTGTAACCTAATTCCCTGTTGCCACATAATGTAACATATTCACAGGTCTTGGAGATAAGAATGTGGACATCTTTGGGGTCCATTATTTTGCTTACCACAGAGCTTTTCCCTTTCCATTAGAATATAAATTTCACAAGACAGGGATTTTTGTCTGTTCGGCTTATTGCTCTATCCTTAGACTAGCTCAATAAATATATAGGGACTTGCCGTGGACTGAAATGTGTCCACCTTCCCCAAAACACATAGACTGAAGCCCTAATCCTCAATATGATGGTATTTTGAGATGGAGGCTTCAGTAGGTAATTAGGGTCAGATGAGCTGATGAGATTAGTGGGTTTACAAGAAGACAAAAGAAAGGAGAGGGATCTTCCTCTTTTTTCCCTGTGAGGACACAGCAAGAAAGGGGCCATCTACAAGGCAAGAAGAGAATCCTCCCCAGAAGCCAAACTGACAGCCACCATGATCTTAGACTTCCCAGCCTCCAGAACTGTAAAAAGCAAATGTTTACTGTTTAAGCCATCCAGTCTATGGTATATTTTTAATAACAACCTGTAGACCAATACAGCACTCAATAAACATGTATTGAGTAAGTAATGAGAAGACCTCATCACAAGCACTGTAAATAGTGAACATCTATTATGCATCTACAATTTGCTGGGTACTTGTTAAGCACTTTACATGGAAGAGCTCATTGAAGTCTCACAAGATCCCTATGGGTACGTACAGGTGATAAAATCATAGGCTAGAAATTTAAAGTAATTGCTTAAGGTCACGCAGCCAGCAGATTGTGTAAACTGGTTTTAGATTTAGCAATGTGACTAAAGCCCATGGCTGTAACCCTGATCCTCCCCTACCACTATCTAATGTGTCAATGGGAACCTCAGGATCTTGCCCTCAAGATGCTTACAGCATAATAAGGATGACAAGAGGCACACGAATAGTAATAATATGAGGAAGACTATGGTGAGTAATATAGAAGAGGCCAAGATATTTTGGCGGATTGTAAAAAAGAGAGAGGTTAATTCCAGGTTAGGTTGATTGTAGAAAGTTTAAGGGAGGATGTGATATTTGAGCTTGACTTAAAGATGGTATACATTGGCAGAGTTAGGTTTGTTCAGATAGAGAGAACCACAGGAGTAAAGATATAAGAAACTAAAAAAGTGATAGATGTATCCTGGTAATCAAGATTAATGAAGCAGGTATGAAGATTACATGTGCAGTT